GGGCGCTGTAATTTCATAAGCACACGATCTTAAGTCGAGATCTTAATCGATCTGAATGTGTCTCTTGAATTTGAATGTGTCTCTTGAGGATATTACCGCCACTCTCGTACATCGATATAATTTCAATTATTACTAATATTACGCGATTATTACTAAGTCTGAATACTCTGTGTAACGAGACAGGATTGTCTTGCGTCTGTTTTGTTCCATCGCGACAATGGGACCAGCTGCAGTATGTAATTATTTGTAGATTGAATCTGGTTCAATGATTCGCTATGAGCAATTACTAGACGCAAGATGTTTCATTATACAGTGTTTTAGACAATGACGAACTAGGAGAGACGCGTCGTTGCTCGAATAGTTCAACTAATCGAATCCGAGCGTTGTAAACGACAGCGTGATGCGTAAGAATTTCAATCGCTCAAACAAGAATTCGGATAATTGACCAGCCTATAGAAATCGTTGGAAAAATTACGATTACGGAGGATATCTATCGAAATATGTTGTTGAAGGCATAAGATTGAAACTATGAATTTCACTTACGACGACGTAGATGGATACATAGTTGGTTCCACCTGTCCAGTTAAGCAAAGCTGACGTGAATTTATGACTTTCGATGACGCACCTGTAGCATCTGCAAGCGGTACATTTTCCCCTGATTTTTCGCTTCAATTTGTCGTGGATTTATTAACTTCGCAACTAAACGAAAACAATACGCAAGGCACAATATCGCGAAAAACTTTTTTAATTTGCGATACTTCGTAACGAGATTCCGGGCGTTAAATAACAGTTAATTATATGTATTTAGTTTTCGCCGACACAGCTAGCGCCGTTTTTTTCACGCGATGAATAACAATGTTCGACTCGGCAGATAATTAAAACGAAACAAAATTGTCCTTCGTTCGTTTGTCTCTCGTTTTCTTCCTTCCAAGCCTGTACAGACATCAATCGTACGATTTATAACGTTCTAAAGGAATAAAATCGTAAATATATTCGTCAGGATGCAAGTCTGGTTCGCGAGTTACGTCATGCTTTAACGACGAGGCGGCAAACGAGGCTAACGAAATGGGATTAAACGAGTAAAATAATTCGCCCTGGAAAAGGAAAGAGACGATCCGCTTCTCGACAAAAGCGTATTTAAACGCGTCCTCTTCGTCATTGGCTTTCCCCGTATTTGTTCTCCATTACTTGAAAATGTTCGCATAATAGGAGATCTGGTAACTCTGCAAACGCTCTTCGTAACGCATGGCCTGCAAAACGATTTTAATTCGATGTAACGATGTTTGGAGAACGAATTCGCGACATATCTGTTTCTCGGTAGAGATCGAATTAAATAGCGCGTAAATCTCGACGATTCCACAATTAGTATTTCTTCTCTCCTGAAATAAATTTTATTTCGAAATAGAATCAGATAGGGAGAAATTGTCGTGTTACGACCAAAGTTGCTCTACTTAGTTGAAACATTCTATTTGGCATTTCTTCGTTTTATAAGATACTTCGCTGTTAAAACATTTCCTACCGCGTATTTTCTGTCTTTTAAAGATTACAAGATCATATTGTTACGATAACGCTGCTAAGGTTATTGTTACGAGATAGCTACTGAATATTTTATTTAATATTCGAACGAAGAAAAGAATGGAAATGAAGAAGAAAACGACGGAACTTCGGTTTCCTTCGATTACGCAACGCTAGGTAGGACATTTTAACCGAAGAAGATTTTTTGAACATCGAAGTTTAATATCCCACGCAAATATTCCATTGAAGCCGTCGTTTCGTTTCAAATCCTCGAGCTTCTTCTACCCACTTCTCATCTTCATTTTCTCCGCGAAAAATTAACTCGCAAGTAGAAGTTTTCCGTATCGGTAGTTCACTTTGCGCAGAATTTCTCTGAAAAGCGACTGTTTCAGAAGAAAGTTGGAGAAAACCCTTTACGAGAAACTTTCGCAAATAATAAAAATTCCACGTGGATTTGTCCGGAGCGTTTCTGTCTGTAACAAAAATTTCGAAACGAAGCTAACGCCCGGAGAACGTGCGAACACTCGGAGGTGCAAACGGGTTAAGAAGTTTGTTGAAGCGTATTTTCATCGTTGTCGCTCAGTCTGGCGGCTGAAACGCGAAACAATCTGACGGCGAATTTTCCCGCAGGTAAGTCACGGTTAAACTCGTGAATCAGGCGGCGGAACGTACGCGTCGGACGCAGAACAGCGTCGACGCCATGGAAAACGACGCGCCATGACGTTGCCACTCGTTTTTCATCGTGGCTCGATACTTTAGCCGCGTACCCAGAAATCAAAGTTGGCTGTATGTCCGCTCCTGTTCGGTCTTCGACGTGTCGTTCGACATCCTGAAATTGCTTTTACGACTGTCTATTCCCTTTTTTTATTACAACAACTCGTCTTCGTGCAGCTTTCCTTCGATCGAGCTTTTCTTTCGTTAAACACGTTGGGACGTTACGAGTTACGAGTTGGCGGTATCGATAAATATTAAACAGCCTTGCACAACGGTAACTAGTTTGGTAATGAAGAAGATAGAATTTTGCAAAATTCACTGTACTTGCTAAAGCTATAGGATGATAGAAGAAAAGTATTTTATAACTGTTTATTGGATCATTCGCGTAGAGACGCGATCGCGAGGAAGCACGTCAACGGGGCTCGTAAATTCCCGTTACGATTAAATAATCGACGCCACGAACTGATCGATCCCCTTATTTCTGTTACGATAATAGGGCTGGTTCGATCGAGTTTACGCTGAATTAACAGGTATAAATTAATGTTTATTCCAACAACTTTGTAAAGAAGATAATTACGCTGATGCGTATGTATAAGTTACGCAAGTGATCGATTCAAGGGTAGAAACCCGGTAAACAGACGTTGACTATTCTAAAGATGAAGAATAAGCGAAGTTCAGTGACGATGCCGTGGCGGAGGAAAGTTAGCGGGGGTGTGTCTAGCGCACGGGACCATCGGATTTGTTGATGACAATTTTGGTTAGGAAAACGAGGGCAGTAGACGTTGCTTCTGATCGAATAATAAGAGGGTTGCTGGACTTAGAAGGGTCTTAGCCGCCCTCCACAGAAAGTTGCTAATGGGAAGCATCATACGTGAGAAAAACTAACGTTCGTCGGTCCTTCGATTGAATAGTTTCGTAGAAAAGCCAACGTGATCCTGGCCACGATCGGTTGCGGAACACGGTTTTGTCCCTAAGACGAAGGGACAAAGGGATGCTAAGGGAGAAAGACGAATTAACAGTCAGTGTCAGTGGAGAAGCCAGGGAGTGCGATTTGCGTTGTTGAGAGAGTGTGGTCCGCGTGAGAGAGAGAGAGAGAGAGAGAGAGCGTTGGATCTGTCACGTAAAGTTAATGATAAAAAAGGAGTAGCTGAGCAATGACTTAACTTGACTGTGCTTTTATAATTTTGTAGGCTTTTATTCGCGAAAATGATCAAGTATAATATTACATTGAAGTAGCGAAGTTGACATAGTTGTTCGAATCACGGCCAAAACTGTACACAAGACTAGTCTCGTGGTCGAATGCTCGCGGTTTTTATACGTTGCGTTTGTGGGTGTTGAGGGGCAGGGAGAGGATCCTGATTGCCCTACGTAACGGGGAAAATGTAATGTTGGGCCACGTGTAAAGGTCAGGTCAAAGCCTGACGGTTCACTGTCAGATAGTATGGAATGACGTGGATTTGGGTATGGTTGTTGTCACGGATCCGTGGTGACGAGAGTTGTAAATTAACTATTGAGTTGTCTAAATTATAGTACGTTATCGTATTTAGTTTACGTTTACTAACCATCGTTTCCTGTTTAGCCCCTTAACCTACAACTACGGGTATAGTCCGTAGTACGATGATCGGGCCAAACGTAAATATTACGGGCTAATCGTAATATTTACGATTCGTAGGTTAAGGGGTTAATCAACATCCGTGTACAATTCATTCATTTTAAATAAGTCATTATAGTTTACGATACTACGATCTATATAGCTCGAATACGACGCTGTCGTATGTTCGAGGAAAAGAGCGATCTACGTACAGGAACGATATGATTTCCAAAAGGAAAATTATCCAAAATTTTACTCGGCGTGTTTTAATTGTGCCTTCGTTTTCTGTTTGCCTTTTCTTGTTACGGTCGGAAGTAAATTGAGAACGGTAAAAGAACAAAATGCTTGGAAAGACGTAAAACATACGTTGCCGTGCTTTTTTAGTCCCGTTGCGTGGCTCGTTTTTTGTTGCACGGTTAGAAAAAAGTCTCGAAAGTACGACTCAAAATAGTATAGCTGGCTTGCATACGTTCCACTTACGACCGCAGAAAAATTAGTAGTGCTTTAAATGAACGAACAACTTATCGTCTATATAGCGATCCTTTTATTTGCCTCTGTCGCTTCGATCGCCACGGTTTACAACTGCGGTTGTTTGCCCCGAATTTTTTCCAAACTGAAATCGCTGAACAAGAAACTGTACCGGATTAGGCCGTGAAAGAAGTTGCGAAAGAACGACGAGTCTGTAAACGATTGGCTTTATGCTTGCGCGATGTTTTTACTCGACGCGTCGTTTTCTTCGCGAAATATTTTCCAGGTAGCTTTGACACGCGTATTCGGCGCACGTTTCCTCGCTCGTAACAATATCAATTCTGCGTGTCCAAATACAGAGAATTGGCGGAAACCTCGTCTACATCGCTAACTCGCGTTTTGTACGAGATTGCTCGCGACAAGAGTTCCCATCGTACGCGAATATTCTCGACAATTGGAATTGATATTTCTAAAAGACAAAGAGAAGAAAAAAACGAATTAGAAGCTGTCGCTATACGTGGATTTCGAGTTTCAAGATTCTTACGTAGAGACACGTGATACAACTGGTGCACATAAAATGGAAGTTTGGAAAATCGAAGCCGACAGACTTTCTAAAATTTAACGTACGTTCGATGAACGAATCGAACGAACATGAATAGTCCGAAACTGAATTATCGAATCGAGCAATTGCTCGCGTTTAAATAGCACTTACCTTCTAATCGAGTGACGTTCCTGGTGACTTTGTGGCTGTTAACGAGCTGCTCGCGCAAATGAGTCCTCTCGCGATGTCGCTGATAATTGCCGATAACGATCGTGGTCGTCACCAGCACGAGAAACAACTTGGGCCCCCAGGCCGGTCTCATCGACATCGTCCTCCGGTTTTCGCATCCCCCGAAGCTTCTGATATTTCGCGGCGTCTGTTGATTTTACCGGGCCACCGACGGAAACCCAATCCCAGCCGTTTTGCTGTCTCTGAAATCCAAACAGCGGCTTGAAAGTCCAACAGCGGTAGCCATCGCGGTGTTTCTTCAACGTCTAAAGGAAAATTCGCGGAAGCGAATATCCGATGAATACGCGTTCCCGCCAAAAGCGGCGCAGTTTATGTACTTTGTGGAGAAAGCGGCTTGGAAATTGATATTTGCCATCTGCGTGTTTGCAAGATTTTTGCCAGCTGATCTTAATAGACGAAGGAAGTTGATACGGTACCGAGGCGAGTCTGTTGGTCGAGAACTGCGGGAAAATTCGGAACTCGGTTGAATCACCAACGACGCTAGTTTGTCCATTTTCCGGAATGAGTGGAGGACCAATATTTACACGATGAAGACTTTCTACGACTTCTGGAAAATCGAGATAAGAGACGGATGGAAATAATACGAGCTGGAATAATTAGTACAGCGCGGATATTTGCGCAGCGTAAAATATGTAAAAGAACAGGCGAAATTTATGCGCATAACGAAATATTCAGTTTTTCGTTTGCGAAAATATTCCCTATCTACGAAATAAAAATTGCCGCAACTTTGTGATGCAAATTTTTTTTACCGTTGCTCCGGTTTATCGAAAAAAAAGGAAGAAAAAAAAGGAAAAATGGCATTCTACGGCCAAAAGATAATGGAAATATATATTTCAAACGCTTGTCACATGTTTAATTAATCGATCGCGCAATCTGTGGTTTCTCGAATACGAGTTACGCTTGTTCGATATATCAAGCATCGGTATGAAAACTGTAAATTTCCGCTTCGATACAGATCAATAGGAATATTATTTTACAAATGTAGGTCAGACTAGAATATTTTCATTTTGTAAAATTTGATACGAAACTCGATACATCGGCACGCAAAGTATAATTGCTCTATTCGTTTCAGACACTGCGTTACGTTCAAACGAAATCTGCTCGTAAACTAAATACCGTAACATATAAAACGATGCAAAGTAACAGATCGTGCGAACGTGTTGATAATATCAAAACGACCCAAGTTTTCGTCGAAATAACAATTTTATTTGGCAATTTCGTCGACAGCGGAAATAGAATGAACGTTTTATCGAAACGATGAATATGGCGATAGCGAAAGGCTCGATTACCGATGAATTACGTCATAGAACGCTTTATCATAGTCAGATAACTATTAACACAGGCAATCATACGTAGTTGGTAATAACGTTGTCGAGAATGCAATAATAACTTGGATTGCGAATGGAAGTGCGTTTGGCGTATGATTCGGTTCTCATTGATCATAGTTATGGCTCGATTCCCTCTAGATGAACGTGAATTATCGGCAGAAAGCCTGCAATGATGGATTAAATGCAATCGTCGAGCGAGATACACGATTTTCAGGAATATTTTCACGAAACGGTAATACGCGTGGTACGTCGGTTCGTTGTACGATTTAATCCGCGTAATAAACATTTGTAGCCGACAGTCAATTTGCATTTCGTTAGCGAAGAAAAATTACACAAGATGCAAATGGAAAACACCAGCTTCTCGCGTGTAATCCACTGCGCTCTTTACCGTGCAACGCGGTATAAAATTTCAGCAATCCCTGACAATCTACTTGCGCGCACATGCTTCTGCACGATCTATTCCATACGAGATAAGCTGCTCCTCGGTGCAGTACTTAGAGAACACGAATGCAATTTCGCTGCCGCATCTCGAATCGAATTTACGGTTACGTTTACAGCTACGAGACAGGCTCGTGTCGACGGTTGAACGAATCTTGTTGCTGTAAAGATGCGACACGAGTGACTCTGTATGGATGTTGATCGTCGAGCGAATCTGAGACCAAAATGAAAATACAGCGGGGAAGAAACGCGCGAGTGGACGGACGATGGAAGCAGACATCGATAAAGTTCGATCGAAACAGCGCTAGTTTTATTTATCGTTTTTAGTTTTATATCCTTACAGTACGTAGATTATTTGCCGATTAATTGAAAGTAACGTTCAGGTTTTTCTAAACAGCTCGTATTTAATTGCGTCGATATCTATTTCCACTATCTGTATTCGACTGCACGTGTCAGTGTGATGCATTAGATACGACGCGATCAACGCGACAAATTAACTTTTGGGTCAAGTAATTTTTCAAGCGCGTCATCGTTTGACACGAGCGGCCGATTCTAAACGATTTTTCGCTAGCGCGTAAATACTGTCAAAGTCTCGTTTCGAAAAGCCACGATCATTCAAAGCTTGTAAAGCGACGAACAGAGGGCAGGGACGGGAGAGACGGCAGGAGGCGGCAGCTATTCTAACGGAGATGTGATCAAAGTACGAATGCACGCCATTGCATGCACCCTACACAGATGGAAGTATCCGTCGATGCACCGCACAGAACATTCGGCAGCCCGACCGAGAATGATCTATTCAAGCATCCAGGTCGTCGGCGTATCCTTTTCATCCCCGTGGCATCTCGAAAAATCGCTGAAACTCCGTGCAACTTGGTCGAAGATCGACGCGAATTTCGCCGACCAAGAAACACCTATTCTTCCTTTGACACGTTCGCGAGAAAGTTTGCGAGAAAGGATCAGGGTTTCAGGGGTAAATGCGTCTGCCGATATTTCGATGCAGGGCAAAGGATCCTTTGCAATCTTAAATTTAAGGGATCGTAGGTTAGAAATTAGCCGGAGTATCGATATATCCTACGATCGTTTGAAAAGTTGCTTATAGAATTGCATAACTTTTTGTTATTTACTTACTACGAGTTACGATATGTCGACTGCCAAGTCCAAGCTCTTATCTAGTTTGCATTGCTTGACTCGAACAAGAGCGCACGGTGTACTGCGTTTGATGTTTAAGAAGGGACACGATATATTTTCCTCGCGTGGAATGCAGACAAATTAAAGGCAGAAATAAAGATCGTTTAAGATCAGAATATCGAAGAAGATGTCTGCAGGTTTCTTAAATTTCGGAGAGACTTGTCCGGAAATTTTGATTGAATTTCTCCGAAGCATAAAGATTCGCCAGAATTATCATTTGAAAAGAGACTGTTGAGAATTGTGGATCTTAATCGCCGAAATAAAAGTAAAACAACGCTAAGAGTACACTTAGAATTCATATTAAATAGTTTTAGATTTATTTAATAAACGATTTCCTGGATCTTCGTCGATATACGCGTCTCAGCATCTTCCATATCACACTGCCAACGAAACGGTTGCATTCGTCTGTTTTTCCAGACGTTGTGCACGCATACACTCATATTCACATACGTGCGTCACTACTACGCGGCTAATCTAGTCTAGCACACAAAATTATACATATCTCAATAGAGACAACGACCGTGATTAATCATGGATAACATGGGATAATTGGCGTGTTAGAATTTAATCTTGGAATTAAGATTAATAACCTGTGGAAGACACAATGTTTGTGTTGAAATAATATAATCTGATATTTATTAAACAATTAGTACAAGAATTATAAGTGTGTGTTCTGGAATGTAGACAGTTGGCTAGTTATTCACAGACTGACTGGCTTAGTGACCCATGGCTCTTGAAAAGGTTTAGAACCCTACTCTCTATGCAGTAATGAGTGCGACCTGTGTGGGTGTCTGTGTGGCGTCACATGTGCCACAGAACCTTTCTAGTAGCTTCTCGACGTGCCCATCGAGAATGTTCCATCCATATCCTCACGTTTCTTCCGGCGTTTTTTGAAAAAGCATGCACGCGCTAGCCGCCGTGGTGCATCTCACGAACGCACGCTAGTGGGGATATCGCTGGGCAACGAAGGGAAGAGAATCCGTACGATCAATCACCTCATCTGCATGCGATTGATATCGTTGTATTCCAACATGGCGCTACTTATAGTTGTTAACGATACTTAATATAATGCCATTTATGTAATTCGCATTTACACACCGGAAGTAGAATCGCGTTAAACGAACGTTCCTTTGAAATTTTCCGTACAGTTATTCTTTTCAATCGCATCTCGTTCGTGTGATCCGTGCAACGGCAAGACCGAAGCGAATTATCCCGGACAGCGTTGGCGAACGATAGTTGAAAGACGTTTTACGTTTCCTACGTGAAGTTTAACTGGCATTTATCCGGGAAATTTTGAAGCGACGAGACTTCGTTTAATCGTCGTGCCGATCTTTATCGCTTCGTCTCGACCAGCTGAGAGAGAGAGAGAGAGAGAGAGAGAGAGAGCGAAAGAAAAAGCATGCGAAGAACACAGCCGCTTGGCAACGTAATGAGTCGCGCGAAAAGCGTCTCGACTGTTGAAGAAAATTCAGAAATGTATAGGGATAAGCGCAGTTCCATCCATTTAATTACTGGCTCGAACATCTTTTTTGGGATCGTTGAATAGGTCAACAGAGTGAAAACCGCGCGCGAGAATAACGAGGCGAGCAACCGGTTAAAAACTTAACAACGCGTCTTATCTTAGAACGATGTTTCGCACTCGACCTGTCTAGTCGTGGGCATCGATTATATATCTATTCTTCGTTGAAATATCACCGACTCGAAATATCTGCGGCTAAATGTCACGCTCCTATCTGCATTTGGTGGACAAGCGTATCTATCAGAATAGCAAGCAACCGGTTCGAGGATACTAAATGTCGCCGGTCGTTGAATAGCACCATTATTATTCGAAAGCAAGTTACGTGAATCACGGCGGATTGATGGTTTCCTTAATTGTTTATGCCAACTGTCCGATTTTACGTAAAACCAGATGTCCTAGTATTTAAGAAGGGTGTTATGTTGTATCTGTTTCGAACGTTGTATTCGAATTTGACGCGCTGTTACCGCTGATCGGATTTTTCTCATCTACAGTGGCTACGAAAATTCGTAGTATTCGTGTTGTAATTATTTTCCATCGAAGCGTTCTTCGAATGACTGGAAATTTATTACAGTCGGATTTAATTAATTATATCATACAAATGAAATGATAAAAGTAACGCAGTAAGCTATATACACGGTAGGAAAATATTTTATTAGGTTGCCCCAAAAGTTTCCCTATAAGTGAAATAATAGATGCGCGATATTTTTTA